ATAGTAAGGAAAAGGTGAAAATCAGAGTTTTAGAAAAAAGTAAAAAAAAAAAATACAAAAAATACAAAAAAAATTATAGTCTGCACAGTCTGCACGGTCTGTTTTAACATGACCGCATTTTGCACAAGGTTAGAGAACGGTTGAATGCCCTACACCAACGTTGTACATGAAAGGGTACGATTGTGAGAGTAAGTCTAAAAGACCTCCCCCAAAGATCAGATCTACACATATCAAGGAGAGACAATCAGGAAGAGAAAACAGTGACGATAATTAAGTTGCAGTTGAGAATGAGAATAAGAGAGCGCTGACTTCGATTATGCAGCCTCAGCATACCCTGCAGATACGGACGCTAGTTTTCTTATTGACACGGCTACACAGACAGAGAGCACAAGTCAAGTAAAAGAGAAGAGAAAATATTTCATTGGCCAGGCAACTTGTCCTGAAAACTGTTATCGTTAGACAGGTGTAACTAGGTCTAAGCTTGATTTGGTTTTTGGATTTTTAGAACCAAAGGCCACTAAAATACATTCACATCCCACCCTCTTTTTCCTTTCCTTTCTAATAATCCTATCGAGGATGATATGCTGGAATGTGTGCACATGGTTGGAAAACGGTGTGGGCAATATCTCTCTCTTTAAGGGCTGACAGGCCACAGCGCAAGTCTGAATCTAAACCCCAGGTAGTTTCTTCCATTTTACCAAGGCAGCAAGCTTAATGTGGATCAGGTTATAATATATCTGATTTGACAAACAACACACGGTCAACATACAAGTACATATATCATATTAGACGTTTTGTTGTGTAGTATCGCTGAGTATTTTTACGAGTTGTGCCGTATTTTGACGAGCCCGTAGCACCACAGGCGTCCCAAGCTCACGTCTCGAGCAAAAGCGAAGGATTATTTCATGAAAGCGTCACGTCTGATAACAGGAAAAACAGTGATGGCAAGGCAAGCCTAAAACGACGGAAATCGCCAAAAAACACAACGGACTCACAAGGAATGAGTAAGTTTTATTAACCTAACGTGTAAAATGTTCTTTTGGAATATTTAGTGTTTTAAATGGACCATATTTTGTTCCCCATACTAGTCCTTAGTCAAAATACAAACAACGAGTAAAAATACTCAGCGATACTACACGACAAAACGTTTAATGAGAGATTTTATTATCCAACACGCTACATTTTTACTTCAGTGCGGGTGAATTTCGTGGATGTTTCTGGAGCAAATATCGCGTGATGTTTGTACTCGTCTCGCGCGTTATTTGTACTCTACGAAGCACATTTGGACAATAAGTGCATATATACCCCTAAAAAGGTACAACTGCCAATATGAACAAAAAGGCAACATCTACAAGCCTGACATCCAACCTTATCCCATTTCAAGGCATTCCTGTGACACGTCAAGTGATAGCTTCATATTTTTTTATCAGATCTTTGTAACAGTCCATAGACACGCCAACCTAGTGTCTCACGGTGAAGGTGCAATAAAGTAACAAGACATCAAGAAACTGTGATCATTACATGTGCAAGTACTGACGCACATACATCTATAACAGAGATGCCAACCTCTGGAGATCTCAAATCTGGAAGCAAACCATCCCAAGCTCCATGAACACTTAGTAAAGCTCGCTGTTAAAGGTGAGTGTTACGTTCATCGACATTAGCTCCGTTTTATGTGATCTGTACATGAGAGTTATTCCACCAAACCAGAGCAAAAAGGGAATACTAGATTGGAAGGGCCACTGCTCTACTCCGAGTTTTAAAAATGTTTCAATGGACAGCACGCTTTACTTTGAGTCTCATAATAAAAGGAACCCTACGCAAACAAAAACGGCGACGGCAACGAGAAAGTGGCGAATCACGAGATTCTGAAATTTTTTTATTCATGAGCACTTTTTTGTTGACTTTTACGCATCATATTTTAGTAATACATGTAATGTACTGTCTTTCTATTTTTCAGTGTCTGGGTCGAAGCACATGAAGGAGCCCGTGGCAATTGTAGTAGAACGAGAACTCAAAACTCTTCTTGACGGAAACGATATCAAACAATTTAATGCTGATTTCTTGGAAAAACACTCTCATTCCTTGCTTCACAGATTTTCAGGTGAATGATAAAAATAAGCTCCGGCTTTCCATCAAGAACCCGCCCCAACATCAGTATGCAAATTCTCCCTCTTATTCTCTATTTGTTTAACAGTCAAGAGCTTCTTTAGTTGGTGATTTTTCCTTTAATATCGTGACCTTTTTGTTTGATTCAAGGGTGATATTTTAAGGAGAAATAAGATGATAATCACTCTCAAGCGTCAAAGGATGAAGTGACGCGTTACTCTCCCTTTATAAACAGGCCCTCACGACTGAACGAGCCCTGTCGCAGGTGTATAATTTATTTGGATGAAGGAGGGTGGGGGGGAGTGTGTATGTTTCATTATTTCTAAATTTGTTCTTAACCGTTGAATTGTTTGTTATCATGCTATACAATAGTCTGTACTCAGTATCTTGAAAGTAATGACATTTTTTTTTTGCTGTTTTTTTTTTTCTAGGAAGCAAGACGCTATGTCTTTTGGATGCTTCAAAGGTAGACGATGCGCTTGCGCTGGTTACAGACTTATCTGATAGTCTAGAAGACAGGACATTAGAGGTAATGGAAGGCTAGTCTAGCGAGCTCCTTCGCTTTTAGTACACAAACAAACCGCAAGACAAAAGGGCCTGTTTACATGGAGGTGGGGGACCCTAGGTAGGTGAGGTAACCCGCCTAATTGGGTTAACCTGACTGTCCATGCAAACTCTTATTTTATCGTGATCACGTTTACATGATAGGTGGGGTAACCCACCCCGGCGGGTTGCCCAGTCTGCCGGGAAGGGTAGCCCTGTCAGCTGGAGTCGCGATTTGCCATGTAAACGTCTCAAGATGGGGTAACCCGCCTAGCCGGGGTCGCGTTCATTTTACATTTGCCAGCGTGCCAACAACCTTAAGAAACGTCACCCTGGAATCGCGCGGGCAATGTTTTGACCACGGCTAGGCAGATTACCTCTCCTACCATGGGTCCCCCACCTCCAGGTAATCAGGCCCTAACAATACCTTGGTCCACAGGGATTTGATGTGTTGAAATATCGCTTAACATTGTTGTTGTTTTTGGTGTCTTACAGACCTGCACAATGATTTACAACGCACTTTTAGAGGGTACGTTCGGCGAGTGCACTGATTTGACGAGGGAGTATTTCCTCAAATGCAGGACTGTGTTTCCGTGGGCTTCAGTGTTCGCAAAAGACGACGGAGTCATCGGAAATGTGAATGGATTAGACGGTGCTCAGACCGGCTTAAGTGAGCCGTTATGCGATGGCGTGGCATGAGTTGAATCACGAAACACCTGAGCAAGTAAAACTGTCATTTTACGTAAACACGCCGAACGATCTTTTAAATGTGTGGAGAATGGAATATGAAAAGTCCATGATGTACTGTATTCAGAGAATTATTAGTATTTTGGTGCAAGGATGCTGCAAAATATAAAAACCTCTTTGTTGGGTAGAAAGGGGCTACTCAGAGAAACAGTGGTCGAAAATGTCCTTATGACTTCGAGGAGCTGTTCTGACAAATAATTGACACAAACATTGTACTGAATTTTTGCGGTGTTACACCTTGACTCCCCTCGTATGTAGAGACGTCGATTAAAGGGGACCGGAGTCCAAATTTAGATTTTGACGCTGAAAGACTAAGATAAACTGTATAGAAAAGCCATACACTGTTGACATGAGCCTCTTTCGTCGCCGTTTTTGGTATGCCAGGTAACGTTGTTTGACATCTTGCGTACGGCCACGAAGGAGACGAGAGCTATTTGAGATATTCTACCAGATTACTTTTCACCATTTGAAACACAACGCAGCTTATTTTTAAAAATAAATGAATAATTCACAAGGAACTAGTTTCGCCGAGCTGTAAGAAAATATTGTAAACACTTCCATATAAGGTCCGGTTCAAACGCCAAACATTTTATGAGCCAAATCTTACAACTGAAATTTCGCGTGTAAATTCGTTCTTTTTTCTGAATCAATTAAGAACGGCTATTTTAATTTCGAACGGCTGAGCCGTTTTCTCCGACTTACTTGGCAAGGACTTTCATTTCTTAAGTACCGAAATGAATGCATAAAAAAAAAATGAAGTCGGTAACCAAAGTTTCCTTTTATCACCAAAACTCCTGGAACTGTATTAGAGACATACGTTCAACGTCCGGATCAAAATGTGTCCTTATGTTCATTTGGGTTGGTCCATATTCGAACATGAATGGCTCATAAAAAGGATCGGCGCTTGAAACGGACGCAACTCGCGCTAAATGTGATCCAAACGGTTGAACCTGATTGGTGTTCCTTGATTGAAGGGGGATCGACCTAATCTCATGACATTCTACGCGAGCAAAATTGAGCATCCCTGAGTTACACAGGTTTTGGAGCGACGCTTAGAAGGTAACTGCGGTTAAGGATGAGAACTAAAGATTACACTCTAACAACAGTTAATGTTAACCACCACAGCGCGTAATATCTCCATCGATAAGTAAAAGGATGATTTCTTGGACAAGACGTTGGTCATGTTTTAAGATAATGAACGTATTGCGAAACTTTCAAAGAAGACGACGCGTGTTTAAAGACGGATAGCGGAAGGGTTCTAAGAAAGAAACAAGAAAGTGCAAGAAATAAGTTTAATCCTTTTTGTTGCCTCCGTCAGAAAGGAGAATTAGACGTACCAGAACAAGAGGGTAATGGGAGGAATGTCCCGGGAATGAAGAAAAAAAGAAAAAAAAAACCTGGGTAAATAAATGAATTAAAGAGGACGTTACGACCGAAACCCCCTCCATAGAACACTAGCAGATTAGTTGTTCTAATATCGCGCAAATTGTCAATTGGGCAACAGCTACCGAGTGATACGAAATGATAAATTAATTTAGCCTTACTTTGGTGGGGGGGGGGAGGGGTGGTAGGTATTTAATGCAGGAGTCTACGTCTCCATCGGATATCCCTGACCAGATTTAATTTACCTTTTAATCACCTAAGTGAAATTCAGTTGAAGGAAATGAAAATTCTCAACATCAATCACATAAAAGTTGTCATTCTGTGAGTAAAGAACACAATACTCTCACTAATGTATCGCCCAATTGTGACCACAAATAAGGCGCCACAGGGCTCGAAGCTCAAACACGATTTGGAGTTAAGTGTGCCTTACAATAGCCGATCCTTCAAAGGAAGGAACTCCTTTTATCACACAAGCTTCCTGGACATGCTAATGTACAGTAGAACCATGACATCTTTAATTTGTATAATAGTTGCTCTTTGTCAAATTTCTCCACACCAATATCATTAACAAACAATATATTATTAAATAATCCTGAATCAAAAGGAACAGCAGAATGAAAATTTTAAAGAGGAGACTAAAAAGCAGGTTGCTGATTGTGGAAGCTGGCGTGGGGCTACAAACACTTTTTGCCTAAAAAAAATCTCGCTTCCGATCTGTTTGAAATCAAGGAAGGGGAGATTGTTAGCCTCCACACCTTAAATAGACTACGATCAGTCCTTGCTTTGGGCGAAGTCCGTCCCGCGGGTAACAAGAAAATCAGCGAAAAAGAGAAAATTGATATCAGCGCGCCACACAGAACTCTGGGAGTGCGTTGTGCCAACATTCTTTTTTTTTTTTTTTTCGTTTTTCACTTATTTTGTTTTACTCGCCTCACGGACTTTTCCGAAAACCGGGAGGGATTGCTCGTAGTCCTCGGGGTTTCTTTTATCGGCAACCGCTTTTCCAACAACCTCTGGGACTTTCATTTTAAGTAGCCTGCGCATGCGCCTTTGCGGGCCACCTTATGAAATGGGCTGCACTTTAGTCTCTTTCACCTTTATATTCACAGTTCATTATTGCATTCTGTTCCTGAACGCTTGATGTTCGTAAAGGTATGTTGTTATAAACTGTGGGAAGTCTCGCTTCAATACGAGCTCCCCCAATACCTTGGCAGACGTCGCTAGCCTTTCTGCATCCACAGAGTTGTGAGCTTTCTGGCTGATAAGCTCGTCTGTTATACGTTTTATTTGACCGCAAACGAGGGCTTTAGTCACAATAAGGCCATCTCCCTCCAGTTTGCACCGATGGCGAATTGCCTGCCAAATCTGAAAATACCACGGAGGAGATATAAGCTTAGAAATTCTCCACGATCAAGTTTCAGGAAAGGTGACGTGTATCATCGCCTTGTGTACGTAGTTTCTAACACAATGTCCACCTTACCTGTGACCTAGAAATTTCGGCTGTGGCCGAGTCCTCCACAGCTCCCTTAAGCACAAATACACCCTGGCCTGGGTAAGAATAAACGAAGAAGATACTTGAGTTACTTGAGTTAAGGTGAGTGAGCCAGCGTGTGCACATCAAGAGCGAGTTACGGACCTAGATGGGACACTAATTCCGACGTAAAGGCCATTACACTGAATAAGCAATAAACTTTTAAAATTTATATCAAGAGCTGCTTTTTAACTCTTCTATCCCCAAGAGTGATCGGCATCTAATTTCTCCTTACAATTTCCCCTCGGAATCAAATATCAAGGTCACGAGATTGAAGGTAATGATCGCCAACTAGAGAGGCTCCTGATAGGTGAACAAATTCTTTATATTAGCACCGTAGAAAATGTATAGAAAACAGTATGGAGAATATGGACGCCCATGTTAGAGTGCAAAGGAGTAATGTGCCACAAGACGAATTTCAATCCGCGTCAATCTCCTAGATCCTTAAACAATCCTCGCTATTTCTCCATTGATCATAGACTCTGCCGAGTTTTTCGACATTACCAAACTAATATTTGGAAATCTTCTTTAAGCTGAAGGTTCCTTTGCGTTGCATAAAATTGCCAAAAATATTTTAATGCGCAACAGCCAGACACATACCTCTCAACCAAGCATCTATGAAAAGAATTCCAACGGTAATGTTATCCTGTAATCCTTGTAGGGTAAATCCACCCTGAAAATATAACAAGCTTTAAGTTTAGAATGACCCTTTTGGATGGCTTTGAGTTCGTAAATTATCGCAGTCAAGCGGTATTGTTACCCTTGGTAGTTGTAGAAGGTCGTTCCTAGAGACAAACACATCAGATCGGCTTTCATGTAGCTGGTTCTTGGAATTTACCTCTGTATTCCACATCTAAAAAATAAAATTGGTTGCTGAGAAACAAACTGAGTGCTTATAAGGACCGGTATATTCGTTGGCTAAGCTTACTTAAATGGTTAACTCTTCTTAAAATCGCAATAAAGATCAACGAGACTTTTTGATATTTTGACTTAATGGATAATGAATCACTGACCTGAATCAAAGGCTGTACAAGATCAGGATCAAATACTAAAAATCCATCAGCTCCTGCCTTGATTTCGTTGAACTTTGCTCTAAAAATAAATCATTAAATATGAACCATTACTCAAATGCAAAGAACTAGGGCTCTGTTTCCCATGCCTATTCTCAACTACGTTCCAAGGGTCCTGTCTTCTTCCCATTCTCGTAGCAGGAAGAGAGAGCCCTAACCCTAACCCTAGCCCTAAGCCACCGTATAGAGTTAAAAAGCAGACGTTTCGAGCGTTAGCCCTTCATCACAACAGACGAAGGGCTAACGCTCGAAACGTCAGCTTTTTAACTCTTTACGGTGGCGAATTTACTATTGTTACCCCCACCGACGCAGCACCACAGTTTCTTTATGCACTTACCCCCTTAATTCATTTTAGAACGAGGTCTGCCCTATTCTTACCTGCAGACTTTTCTGGTGATTTGCTCTCGAAGTTGCGGATTATCTTTCGGTAACACAACTGGCGCCATTCCTCCTGTTGCGTGACATGCCCGTGCGTGACATGCCTGATAAAAAGCAGGAAAAGGAATCAGAATTCTTTTTCAACAGTGACACCTCCACTATACGCAAAAAGCAAGTCTTAATAAAATTGT